GTTTTATGATTTTCTTTATATTGGTTTAAAATATTATTAGTTTTTTTCCCTATACATTTTATATTTTTGTTATTATAAATGGGATCTTTCAGCCATTATAAGTTTTTAAATTCAATGTCTTATAACCAGGGATATCAAACAAAATCGCGAGTGCAACTTGGCACATTCTTTGACGGGTTACTCTGAAAGAAAGGCATCACTGTGAAAATATTTTTCTATTATTAAAGCTATTTGATTATTTATAATATTAATTAATATTAAAGTAAAAGAAGCAATCCACTAACTTTAAATTTCATGATACAGAAATAAAAACTAAAAATACTGTTATTTATGCAAATTTTATTCAAAGAAATTTAAAATATACATATTCATAATACACACCATCCTGATATCGTAACCTTGAACCTTCTGAACAAAATTGATGACTCAATTCTTTGATAAACTTTATTTGATAATAATGATGATTCTACAAACTGAAAAGGCATCTTTTATTGCTTTTCTTTTTGTTTCCCTTCTTGGGGTGATTTTGGGGCTGTCAAGAACCCTCAAGGAACACATTCTGAATTTTCCTAGTTGGCTCCATTCTGAACGAATGAAAGGAGAGGGAGAAGAAACCCTTCTACAGAAGAGTATGGGGGAGGTGGACTTCTATACTGTATACAGAGAGAAATTAAGGGCAATTTAGTCTGAATTGTGAAAAGCAGTGGGATTATGAATGAGCTTAGCTGTCTCTCCTTTTCATCCATCTGAATTTTTAAAATTTATAACACATTATTTATATAATTAAGAAATTATCCAAAACCAAACTCATCAAACAAAACAAATCACAGTTCTAGAGGCACAAGGTATTACTGGCTGCACACTGAAGAAGATCAGAATATGCCACTCCAAAATATGCTGCTTTGGCATCAGGATTATCTGGAGCTGAAGGCACAAAATCATGTGCTATGATTTCACAGCAATGTCAAATTGCTATAACAGTTTCTAAATGTTTACTCTCAATTTCTGTACGTATCTCATGGCAGACTGGT